CCCGCATCGCTGCCGCTGCGCAGGAGCGGGCCGTGGGCTGGCCTGGGCTCGAAGGTGTGTGGCGTCAGCGGGGGCCGCGCCGGCTGGCGCAGCTTGCGGGCGAAGAGGTCATCGGTGGGCGCAGGGGCCGGGCCCCGCCGAGGACTCCCCACGCCGCCGGCCCACATGGGCGTGCCTCGGACCTGGGGACTTGGCTCTCCGGGTGCCGGGCCGCATTGGCAGGCACGGGTGGTTGGTGCCCAGCCGGCAGGCCGGTTCCTGCCCTGAGGGAGGAGGGGTCTGCTCAGAGGAGCCTGGGGAGAAAACAGGAACCCGGGCCCCCAGCCTGGTCCACCATGCGGGTTGACTTCCGGCCCCCTCCACGACCATCAAAGCCGCTTCCGCTTTCCTGGCCACTTCCTCGTCTGCCTGGGGCTGAGGTTTCCAGCCCCCTCCTCCAGCTTAGTGCTGGGCAGGGCTGTCGGGGCCCTGGCCCTGAGGGTCTTGGAGCCTGGGCGGCCCTGGGACTGCCAGGGCTCCCCAGTCCCCATTCACACACCTTGGCTTTGGTCTGGGCCCAGAGTGAGAGTCCCCACCACGACCTGGCCCAACCGGACAGATGATTTGTCTCCGCTCGGACGGGAAACCCATGGGGCTACTGGTGTCTGGGTCCTGTCCACTTGACAAAGGGAGGACGTCCTGTCCCCAGAGACCTTCCTCCCTGCTCCTCCCACTTCCTCCAGGATCCCAGAGGAGCTGAGCACCCAGAGGCTGGGTCTCAGTGCCCTGGCCCTCACGGCCTCAGTACCTCAAGGACACAGGGGTTCCCAGGGGGCACTGGCAGGGCAGCAGGAACAGCAAGAGCACTTCCTTCAGCAGAGGAAGTGGCCCCAACTCTGGGCCCAGCTCCCTGCCCGGCCCCACATCCTGAGGAAGGTGCTGGGATCACATTAGCTCAGTCATGGGACCTAAGTCAACCTAACCTGAAGGACAGGCCTGGGCTCACCCTCTTGCAGGCCTCTGTAGCCATACCTGGGGGTACGGGAGGGAGTCATGCTGACCAGGCCCCTTTGCTGGAACTGGAACCCATGGGCACTTCTGCCTACCTGGCCTCACTGATGCTGAGAGGAGAGTCTGAACCCCCTATGACAAACAAACTGAGGTCCAGATAAGGGGATGCTCTTGACTGAAGCAATTCCATATCAGCTAGGATTTGAACCTGGGTCTGCCAATCTCCAGGGCCTAAATAGTGCTGTACCTCCCCACTCCTAACACTGTGTGAGTAGGTGTGGGGCAGGTGGGGGGTTGGGCTAAGGCTCGAGGTCTCACAGGATGTAAGAGACACCCAAGGCCCCAGGGACCTGCTTAAGTGCGAAAAATGTGTCGAGACCAGGGGCAGGTGCAAAGGGTGGTATGAGAACGTGAGAGGGAGTCACCCTCAGGTAAACCCAGGATAGAGTGGGTGGCTGGGGCAGGGATGTGGGTGACCCACTAGGGGTGCAGGCACCTGCTGGTGAGTCTTTGTGCATCATCCAGTGACACTGTGTAGGGCTGGGCTAGGAGGGGATGGAGGCAGAGGCTCTGCACCCCTCAGCTAAAGCTCCAGGACCAAGTAAGGCTCAGAGTGCCTCCTCCCTTGGTTTCTCCTAGGACAAGTTCGTGACACTGATCCTAAGTCTCTGTTCTCTCACCTCTAAAATGGGGTTAACCATCCCTGTCCCCTGCCAACACTGCTGGAAGACCGAAAGGAAGGTGAAGCGAGCGAAGCTGGCCTTGTGTTAAGTGTGTGGTGTCAGATGCAGGCCCTGGCTCCATGTGCCAAGCTCCAGGGCCTCGGCTGTGGTGTGTGTGAAGTGTGTGTGATGGGGGTGACAGGGGACATGAGAGAGGGGGTCTGCGCAGACCCCTGCTCCGTGTGGGTTGAGCTCTGTGCATCTGTGCGTGCACAGCCCATGGGCTGCCTCTTGCTCTGGCCCAGTGCCGGGCTCTAGCCTGCCTTGGGGGATGTTCTTGGGCTCTGCCCCCCACCCGGCAGCTTCACACAGGGTCCATTGAGGCCGGGACATTCCTCACAGCCTGTGTCACTGGGGAGGAGGGGGCCGGCCCGCTCCCACAGATCCGGAAGGCCTGGCTGCCCCAGGAGGAGGTGCTGGACGCTTCCCAGCACATCTGGAGGTCATGACCCCTTTTCTGCTGCCAGGGGGCACGACAGATGTTTCCTCCCAGGCCAGGCCCGGGACCAGGGGGCGGTGTGCAAAGGCTGGGTTGGAGGCCGCCCAGGGAGAAGGGGAGACCCAGAATAGGGGGAGCACACAGCCGACAGGCAGAAGGGCAGTCACCAGCGCCGCTGAGAGGAGTCGGGAGGCAACGCATCCGCTCACCCGCACACCGGGCGGGCCAGGCCGTCTCGCAAAGGAGGTAGGGGGCAGCACCGTCCAGAGGCAGGGGACTGGACGTGCTGACTTGAGATTGGAGCCCAACGGGAGGTTGGGAGCGTGCAGACGGCGAACGCGGCGAGGACCCCCTCCCACCCACACACCACCCGGGCCCACGCCAGGCCACTTTCTTCCCTGTTCCGCCCGACCGCGGTGCCTCCGCTCCCCCCCTCTCCCGCCGGTACCTCGGCCGCCTCCTCCCGCGATGGGGTCCAGCTGCCTGCTCTCCCGCTACAGCTCCGGGCGCCGGCTCCGCCTGGGGGCGGGGCTATGCCGGGGGCGGAACTGCAGTGGATGGGGCGGGGCCGGCCCGGGAGTCTCCGTCGGCGGGAAGCGCAGCGGGCGGGGACTGGAAGCCTGGCGGCGGGCAGTCTGAACGGCTGCCCCACGACAGGCCCGGCCCAGCCCAGTAGGGCCTCCAGTCCTTGGCTGAGAAACCGGAACAAATGTACCTGCCTTCCAAACCAACTGGGAGGGCTAGACCGGGACAACTAGTGTTCAGCTCCATCCCGGAACAGAGCAAGTGCTCAGGAAGTGCCGCTATTTACAAGCACTCTGCTCGGAAGCACTGGGCCCTGCCCTACACACGCTCTCGTGTATTCTTAAAACACCTTAGACAGGTATCATCTCTTATTTATAACTGGAGAAACTGAGGTTCAGAGAAAGGCTTTGGCCAAGGTCAAGGCTAACAATTGTAGGAACCTGCCACTGGAGCTAGAAGTCTTTGAACACTTGGGTGTGAGAAACGGAACAACTGCAAACCTCAGATCAAGGCTAGAAAAGGCAACAGGCTTGTGAGGAAGAGGATCCAGTCCTACTTGAACCCCACCCTGGTCTAACCTTGATCTTCATCATAGCCCAGCCCCACATCTTTCATCCCCCTCTCTGTGCTCATCTACCCTCCACCCAAACACCCCCAGATGGAAGAAGAAACTACCAACCAAAATCAAAAATAGTGTTATTAATTCTGGTGTCTCCGAAGCACGAAAAAAAAAAAAAAAAGAATAAAAAGAAAAAGAAACCCCCCTCCCCACATTTCAGCCCCAAGTCCAAGGCCAAGGGGCTACCCCAGCAGGCAGTGCAGGCCGAGGGGCCAAGTCAGTCCTGGCCATGGGCTTGAAGCAGGACCAGCCCATGGGTTTGGCTCTTAGGGCCCAGCTGGGAGGCTGCCTGCCTCAGTTTGGGGAGCCCAGGCCCTGAATTAGGATGAGAGATCAGGGGCCAAGGTCAGAGGTCTAGGATACTCAGTTCTGGTGCTCTGGCTAAGGCAGCCAGAGGTCAGGGTTCACATGTAGGAGTCAAAGCCACTCAGTTCTGTAGTCCAGCAGAAAGGGCCAAAGGCTGGGGGTCCAAGTTTCTGAATCCTGGGCTGGGACCCAGGGGGCACCAGGCCACTCAGTACTGATGCTCCAGCAGGGGCTGGGCAGCCGGGCTCTCACGCTCTTCAGCAGGGGCAGGCCAGTCGCCCAGGGCCCCAGTGGGCGTGCCACTCTCAGGAGCACTGCTGTCCAAGCACGGAATATCCTGCACTGCTCTGGGGGGCGAGGCATCGGTGCTGATGTCCGGGCTGAGGCTGAGGTCTAGGGGCGCCTGAGGGAGGGGAGATAGGTTGGTAGGAGAGCAGACCTGAGCTGCCCAGGACCCGACCCTCCCATAAGAACCTTACCTGAGATTTGGGGGTGCTTCCTTTAGGGCTCCCTGAGGCTGGCTCCCCCTCGGATCCCCCTAGCCCCTTCCGACCCCCCAGGCTCCACTTCCCACTGGGACCCTCAGAACTAAGGAGGCCAGGGCCAGGGGGCCTTGAGGGCCTGGGACCCTCAGTGGGGGCAGGAGAAGTGGGGGATGGTCCAGGGAGCCGAGGGGGTGGCCACTGCAGCAGAGGCGGGGGGCGCCCATCACCAGAGCCGCTCAGGGAGGGCCTCGGGCCCCAGGCAGGGCCTGGTGGGAGAGGCTGGTCACCACCGCCTGTGGGAGACAGATAAGAGGGCAGAGACTTCAGTCGGCTAGGCTGCCCTCTCCACTCAGCGGGTCAGCGCGGCCCTGCCTGCTCACCTGCTGTGTTCTCAGGTGTGGGGTGTGCCAAGGGGGGGTTATTGCTGAGGGAGGTCAAGCCTCCGCCTCCACCACAGTCCGAGTCATCCACGTTCCCGCCGCTGTTGCAGCCGGCACCACAGCCTTTATGAAGCCTGGGGGATGGGAGGCGGACAAGAGGTTGGTAGGCGGTGGGAGATGCAAAGACCTCACGAGCACAAGTTCCCAGCCCAAGACAGGTCACCTACCATGTCAGAGCCCAGAGTCCTATTTCTAAAAGGTTTTTGCCATCTACTTTACAGGGCTTTTTTTTTTTTTTTTTCCCTTAAGGCCGTACCGTGTGGCATGTGGGCTCTTAATTCCCTGACCAGGGATCGAACCCGCACCGCCTGCAGCGGAAGCATGGAGTCTTAACCACTGAACCACCAGGGAAGTCCCTACAGGGCTTTTAAGGGAGGGCTTATCGGGGACTCCCCTGGTGGTCCAGTAGTAAAGATTCCACCTTACAATGCAGGGGACACGGGTTCGATTCCTGGTCAGGGAACTAAGATCCCACATGCCGCAGGGTGACTAAGCCCATGTGCCACAACTACTGAGCTCGCGCGCCTCAACTAGAGCCCGAGTGCCGCAACTACAGAGCCCATGGGCCCCAGAGCCTGCGCGCCACAACTAGAGAAGAAAACCCGCTCGCCACAACTAGAGAGAAGCCCACACGCTGCAACAAAAGATCCCGCATTCCTCAACGAAGATCGCACATGCCACAACTAAGACCCAACACAGCCAAAGACAAATAAAATAAATAATAAATAAATCTTAAAAAAAAAAAAAAGGAAATACTTGGATAGTCATAACAGATGGGTCTAACTTAAAAAGCTTCTTGGCAATGTTGGGATATGACTACACATTCTGAGATATTTGAAGAAATCTACATAATAAATTGCAGCTACATCCCCAATAAGGAGGCATGCAGAGGAAAAGGAGAGGGTTCCTGCAGGTATTCTGAAAGCAGGAAGAGTCCTTGTGCTGTCTCACTAGCAGAAGCAGAATCATTGCTCAGATTTCTCTACAGCTTTGATTTACTACCACTAGCAACAGACAAGCTGTTCTGAGTTCACTCCGAAAATCCTCCCATGGGGGCTTCAGGGCTTTTTCCCATTTTCCAGAGCAGCGGCCTCCAGCAAGAGGCTTGCCGGTGGCTCTCCCTCTGGCCAATTTAGCCTCATTAACCACCTGCAGGCCTCTGTTTCCATTCCTCCATGAGGTGCTGGCTCTCACACTTGAGCATCAGCATCACCTGGAGCTCATGTTAAAACACAGATTGTTGGCCGGGCTCCCCCTGTTTCTGATGCAGTCGGTCTGCTCTGGAGCCCAGAAACTGGCCTTCCCAACAACTCCCCTGGAGATGCTGTTGCTGCTGGTCTGGCGGCCACCCTTGAAGAACTGCTGTTTAATATACACCCCAGAGGTACTTTTATAGTAAATGATTTATTAACAAAGTGAATCCTTTTCTGTAATCCTGGAGCATGCTTACCAATCATTTTTTACTACTCGATGCTGAATGTTTATAATGTTTCTAAAGATCTTCTCTAAAAAAAAAAAAAAAAGGAAGCATAATCAACGGTGCTTCAGGCTAAAGGCCACATTCAGCTCTGGCTGAGGGGGCGGGGTGTGCAGTTGGGTCAGCTCGGGGAAGGGGTCAGCTCTCAGGGCTCAATCCTGGCTCCAGCACTTCCTCAGTCAGACCCCGGAGAGAGCCGCTTCCTCTCTCCGAGCCCCGGCTTCCAGCCCCGTGACCCTGGCCTTGCGGGCTAGAGGCGGGGGGTCGGAGCTCACCTCTCCCAGCTGCGCAGAAGCCAGCGGGCGATGGCGCCCAGGCTGATGGGGCCGCCCCACAAGGCCTGCAGCTGGGGATGGCTGCCGGCCAGCGAGGTGGTGAGGGGCGACACGTAGATGGGGTAGCCCAGCGGCTGGTCGCAGGAGGAGTTGATCATGTTGCGAAGCGCCTGCTTGGCGTTCTGGATGCTGCCTCGCTCGGGGTTGCGGTTGCGCAGGAACACCAGCTCCTGCTGCTGCCCAGCCCACAGGCCGCGCACGCACTCGCGGTTCACCTGCGGAGGCCACACGCGGGGGTCAGAAGGCCGCGCCAGGAAGGGGGCCGGGTCGGGCGAGCGGCCGTCCCCACCTTGATGACACGGAAGCTGAGGTGGCGCCGGTTGAGCATGATGATCTTGTACTCGTCGGAGGCGTCGTCCAAGACGTGCCGCAGCGCCAAGAGCGAGGGCGTGTTGCTGAGGATGGCGCTGCGCCAGGCCGGGTCACCTTCGTGTGAGATGACCAGCCGCTCCTCGTTGGCTGCGATGGCGTCATACAGAGCGGCCGGCTCCTCATACTCATCTGGGGACGTGAAGTGGTCCTGCGGGGAGGACGGAGGGCTGAGGCCAGCGGCCCCTGGCCTGGGCAGAGACCTCGCCCCCACCCACCCTGCCTGGGCACACCTCTCCCTACCTGGTGAAGCTTGAGGGCCATGCGAACCCCAGGTGCCACCACGCGGTGAAGCAGGTCCATGTCGGCAAAGACCCACTCGTCACGCGGGGAGGTGATACGGAAGTCCCCCTTAAACAGGGCGTGCAGGCCGTAGAGGAAGGGCTCCAGGCTGGGGAAGAGGAGGAGGGGAGGTGAATGCACAGGGGGCTCCTGGCTTCCTGAGCTCTGACTCTATGTGCAGTGGTCAGTGCGGAGATGGCTCTTTATGCTGGGCCTTGGTTTCGCCATCTTGACAAGGTCAACCTCTGCCCATGTTCCTCACAGGGCGGTGAGGAGCAGGCGAAGTCACAATGGGTAAAAGAGCCACTGAAGGGAGGACTGATGCGGCCCCTGGGGGCTGAGGCCAGAGGCCCAGAGCTCTTCATGGAGGTAGAGGAGGGGAGAGCAACAGGCCCGGCTGGACTTGCGGGCACTCACCTGGCCGACATGCTGTGCGAAGCTGTCCCCAGGGCCCGGCGGCCCAGCACACACAGGCCAAAACACAGTGTGACCAGCGGCGAGTTCCAATCCTGGTCCACAGGCTGCGGCACAAGGACCCCCGTCCCCAGAGCCCAGCTCAGACCTGGGACAGGGAACTTGGGGTGGGGGCTGGGGCCCAGGCCAAGGGAGGCTGAGGGTGAGAAGCACCTGCACGGGGAAGGGGGAGGCCGAGGGGAGAAGGCAGCCCCAGGGTAGCGGTGGCCGGACCTGGCCGCGCCGGGAAGCGCAGTACTGGATCCACTCCAGGTGCACAGCGCAGAAGGAGGGCAGCGAGAGGCCGGAGAGGCGAAGGTCGTAGTCCTCATCCACGCTCAGCGAGAAGGTGGGGTCTGAGTCAGCATAGCCAGGTGCCCGCACAGGACGCAGGGCTGTCGCGATGCCCTCGTGGCTCAGCCAGGCCTCCAGCTTTGGAGAGCGGCTCACATAGTAGATGATGCTCTGGGAGGAGAGGGCTGGGGTCAGTGACGGGGGGAGCGCCCTTGCCCTGGCCACTGGAGGAGACAGCGTCAGGGTGAAGAGGCTTCTCCCTTAGACTGAGCTGAAGTCGGCTTCCCAGGACGCCCATCCTGTGTCCCATCTCAGCTCCCTGAAGACCCACAGGCAAGTCTGCTGCCCTTCTCTCGGCCAGGGAGGGGGAAGGGGAAAGCTGACAGGAAGCAGCCCTCCTCACGGAGCATCCCCTGGAGGGTGGTGCACTGTGGCAAGTGCTCGGACGCTTGCCCTTCCCTCCTGCCCTGTTTGTAAGGGGAACTGAGGCCCAGACAGATGACAGACTTGCCCGCAATTACACAGCAGGGCAGGGTTAGCTGGCCAGCACCGCAATACCACGATGCTGTGGCATCCAGACCTCAGAGGCCCCGGAAGGTCAGACTAAGGTCGTGGGGCTGCCTGCAGGCCAGTGGGGCCTAAGTGTCCCTAGGTCTTGGGCCCCTTGAGGCAGCTGAAGTATGACGGCCACAGGGCTTCCCCTCAGAAAAAAGCCAGAGGCACGGCCTCTGTGCCCGAAGTCCGGGGCTCCTGGACCCTTTAAAAGATTCTGCTGGCTTCTAAGCAGGGGTTTGGGCAAATGCAGAGGAGCTCTTGGAAGTAGGCAGCTGACACAGCCAGCATGGATGGGCAGTGTGAGGCCGGCAGCTGGCAGCCAGTGAGGTTACTGGGATTCTGTGTGCTGCCCTGGGATGGAGCCAACGGGATGGGCTTCTGCCTGGGGAAAGGGTGGGAAGTCCAGAGCTGGGGAGGCTGGCGCAGCTGGCCATGAACAGAGGGCACCTAGGCAGTAGGGGAGTCCAGCAGGGTGGCTCTGGTAGGACATGGAAAGGCTAAGAGCCTGGGCAAAATGGCCACAGTACAAGCCAGGAAGAGCCAAGGGCCTCAGATAGCTCCCTGGGTGGTGATGGTGGGGAAACCTGGAGGCCATGGCTATAGGTGGAGCCTCATCAGTTCGGTTCCCGGCACATAGCAGCTTGCCTGGTAGCTGGGAGCCTGGCCCCAGCATTGCCTCGGCTGTGGTAGGTGAGTGGGCAGTCTGGGGAGGGCTGGGTGCCCCCTTACCAAGAGGAAGGGGCACCAGGAGCCTAATGGGGTGAATGGGGGCAGGAGGGCTGTGAGGCAGCTTGGGCTCCAGGCAGACTGGCTCCAGACTGACCTTCTTGCTCAGAGGGCATCTCTGCAGGCCCCAAGAAGAACCAGAAAAAAAAACTTTGGGGACTGGGGGAGGAGCTGACCTGGCACACAGAAGTGCTCCATTAAGTTGCACAACCACATGGTGTTCTACGGAACCAGCAAACCTGGGGCCCAGCCCTCAGAGTGGTTCTCAGGAGTAACAGCACCCGCCTGCAAGCATTTGCTGGCAGCTCAGTGGCTCTGCTCCGTGTTTCACATGGGGCAGCTCACTGAATCCTCATAAGCATCACGACTGCGGCACCTTTTCTGCCTTCATCCCACCTAACTGCAAGGATGGGTCTGTGAGCCTCAGTTTTCTCAACTATGAAAGGGGCCTATTACACTGACCTTGCCTCTTCCAAGAGTTACTAAAAGAATCAAACAGGGGCTTCCCTGGTGGCGCAGTGGTTGGGAGTCTGCCTGCCGATGCAGGGGACACGGGTTCGTGCCCCGGTCCGGGAAGATCCCACATGCCGCGGAGCGGCTGGGCCTGTGAGCCATGGCCACTAAGCCTGCGTGTCCGGAGCCTGTGCTCCGCAACGGGAGAGGCCACAACAGTGAGAGGCCCACGTACCGCAAAAAAAAAAAAAAAAAGAATCAAACAGCAGAATGAATGTGCCTGGGCTTGGAAATGCTAAGAGCACCCCAAGGCTTGGCTGCAGGTGGACGTGAGGGCCAGTGTCTCCGTGGCCACAAGAGTTGCACTGAATCTCTCACGCAACTGCACTCAGTGACTTCCATGAAGGACAAGGAGTGGGAGGTGCCAAGGGGGGCTAAATCTGCACAGGAAGGCTCCGTCTGGTGTGCCAAGCCCAGGGCTGGATGGGACACATCCCTGAACTGCCCCAGGCCCGTGGGGCTGCCCTGCACACCTGCCTCCCCCCAGGCCCCGCCTCAGCAGCCCCCATTCATCCTTCCAAACTTCAGCCCACACTCCATCCTGGGCAGAGCCTTCCCTGGGTCCTCCAGACGCCTCCACACGGCCGTGATTCTGCCCAGCCTTTGAGGCAGCTGCGGCAAGTCGGCTTCCCCTCAAGAAGCTGGACAGGGGCGGCGCTCATCTCAGCCTGCTAGCCGGGGGCCTGGCTGGGGTCTGATGCACCGCCACAAGAAGCCTACGCTGGCCGAGAGGGAGGAAGTGGGAAGACCTGGGCAGAAGCACCCCTCAGGAGATGGGGAGAGGAAGGTGGACGGGACCGTAACCCCTGGGTGACCTGTGGCTGGGAATGCCTTTTTCTGGACCACAGCCTCTTTCTTGGTGACGATAAGTATGGGGCAGGCTCACCAGCCCTTCCCTAGGAGTGGACGGGTGGAAACATCCACAGCAGAGAAAGTGCAGTTTCTCTGACAAGCGACACAGATGGGGTGCCCACTGGCAGTGAAGGACAGCTAGGGGATGCACAGGACTGCCCTAGAGAGAACCTCAGGTGGGCAGGCTCACCTGGACTCCAACAGGCCACCCCTTCTGGGCCCACGACAAGACCCAGGGCAGATGCTAAGAGAGCGTGAGGGGACCTGTGAGCCCCTACTCACACCACTCCTGTAGCGCCCTCATCATCCCTGCCACCTCACAGAACCGCGAGAATCCCCACTTCTCAAGGGGGTTGACAGGCACAGCAAAGAAGGCAATACCTTAAGCTTCCCAGAATCCAATCCACGGCTCCCTTCGGACCCCACACCGTGCCTCACCAACCCCCTGCCACGTCACCATAGGCCTCGAGACCCTCAGGCCTGGCTTGGCGTGCCCAGGCTGAGACAGGGAGGACCAGGCCTGGGCTGAGCCTAGCTCTGGCACTTTCTCCTGATTCTAGGGCCTCAGGCAAGTCACTGTCCACATCTGAGGCAGCAGGACCTCTCCTGGAGGGTGTGGCGGGCTTCACCCAGCTCAGGAGAGGTGCCTGGCAGAGCCCAGCCCTCAGTGAGCACCGCTGCTTGGCAGCTGCTCCTAAGGCTGTCGTTCCTGCCACCACTGTTACTATTATCGTCACTCTGTACTGGGGGGGGCGTGGGGCGGGGCTGGTGGTCTAGAAGGCTGGCATCAGCAATGCCCCTCCCAGGACCAAAGCCCAGAGAGAGGATCTGTGCACGTGCTGCCCACCGGCCCCCAGGACTCACCACCCCACGTGAGCCTCCTGGAGGAGGGTGACAGGGGGCCCGCCACCCCAGGCTCCCCACCGTCAGAGAGTCACATGGGCCTCTGAGGCCCAGTGTCCAACAGTGACTCTTGGGCCTCTGAGGCCCACTGTCCAACAGTGAGGCTGATTAAACTCTCTGAGGCCTCTGCTTCCCTTGGGCAAAACAGGCCCCCAAGGATCCAGAGGATGGCCTTCGGGATGCTCCTGGCCAGTGAGCACTCACTGGCGGGGACCCCTGCCCCGCAGCCACCTGCCCCTCATACCCTGACGTAGTAGGTGATGAGGATCTTGCGGAGGTCGAAGACCTGCAGCATGGAGGCAGCGTTGTTGTCGCTGATGCTGTAGCCCTCCAGCACATACTTGCTGGCCGTCACTTCCCAGGCCAGCCAGCGCTGCCCGAAGGCGGCGTTGAAGGACAGGACCCTCGGCAGGTGGCCAGGCTCGCAGCAGCAGCAGCCCTCATCCTCCTCCACGCCCTCTGTGATGGCCTCCACCTCACGCTGCTGGCAGTACGTACCTGCGGGGAAGGGGGGCTCCAGCCAGGGGGCCACAGGGACACCCCAGCCTACCTCCACCCCAGACAGCGCCCGGGCACCTCCCAGAGATGCGACGCGAGTAACCATTATTAAGTGAACCAATTAACAAACAAGCCCCTTTCTCCTCCTGACTCCCAGTGGCCGCGATGGGGTGGAACTGGGGCGTTGAGGGTTGGGGGGAGGGGACGGGGTCTGGTCCCTCATCTGTAGACGCAAAGACTGAAGCTCAGGCTCGTGTTGCTCCCGAGCTGTGCCTAGAGCCCCTGTGCATTTGTGAGCCCCTCTGAAGCTGGCATCTGCCAGGCACAGCTTCCTGAGGGCAAGGAGCCGGCTCACTCAACAGGGCTTACGTGTGGCCCCCCACCTGGTCTTGGCCTGAGACCGCAGAGCAGGCCAGCGGAAGCTCCAGGTCCGAGCTTTCATCAGAGCAGCCTGGTCGCTACAGACCTGCCGCAGTCAGGGCAGGGACGGGGCTGGGCTGGAGACAGCCTGCCGCCTCACCGCTTGGACTAGGAAACCCAGGCCCGGCGGGGAGAGCCCCTTGCTCAAGGGCCCCAGCAAACTGGAGCAGAGCAGCGCTAGAGTCCAGCCCCGACACACTGTCAAACTCGGCCCCGCGACTCACCCCGGAACTCGAGGCCACGCAGCTGGAAGGTGACGAGGCCATTGCCGACCTCGATGAGGTGCACCAGGGCGTTGAGGTAGTCGGAGGCCAGAACAAAGCAGTCGCCGGGGCCGTAGTTGCCCCAGCGGCCCAGCACCAGGTCCCCGCACAGCGTGTGCTGCAGCGAGCGAGTCAAGTGCTCATAGAAGATCGAGTTGAGGTTGTTGTCATCAGCTCCTGGAACCCAGGACGGACGGACAGATGGACAACGTGACACGTGAGCGAGGCTCCCTCCAGGAAGGCCCCGCCCTAAAGCCCCGATTGGCCGGGTACACACCAGGGTTCCGGTCCAGCTGTGTGACCAGGCGGGTGTTGGAATGATCCACACGTTTAGTGCTGTTCAGAGAGAGGGCGACAACACAGGTGGCCAAGAGGGCGAGGCTGCCCAGGGCTCAGACGACTGCTCCCGCCAGCCCCAAGCACCTCCCCTCCGAACCCGCACCCCTGCACTCTGAGGCAGACGCCACGACAGCCCTGTGACAGTGGGGGAGGCTGAGGCTCAGGGACATGAGGGGACTCACCCGGGACCACACAGCCAGGAAGCCCAGGGTGTGAGCCCGAGGCCTCGGCCTGGCTCGAGTTTTGCCTCATTTGGGTCAGCCACCTCACCGAAGCCCACAGCACCCCACCCAGCCTGGGCTCCAAACTCCTTCCCGTCTCCCAGCAACCTGCCCCCCGGTGCAGCCATCCCGCTCCTCTGCCAAGTCCCTCTCAGGGACGCCCCCGGCACTTGCTTCTGTGTCCCACAAGACTCACTTGTAGTCGCGCTCCCAGAACTTGAGGGGCCGCGCGTAGGACATGATGAAGACGGCGCTACCCAGCAGGGGGTTGAGCGGCGTGGAGAAGAGCGCGGAGAGCAGGGCCTGAACGAACAGCATGGCCGAGTCTGGGCACGAGTCAAGGAGGCGGCAGGCACGCAGGACCCTCCCCGGCCTCCCTCACTAGCCCCCCACCCCCGTGCCAACCCGCCTGGCGGCCCCCAGCCCCATCCAGGCCACGGTCCTCCCTGCACACCCGCGCCCAGGCAGCAGGCGGCAGGCTGGGTACGTGGCACGGCGAATGGCTGGGCAAAAGCGTGGAAAGCCGAGCCCCACGTGATCTGCCAGGGCGCGATGTAGGTCAGCACAAAACGCAGCTTGTACAGCAGGTCCCACAGCTGCAGGGTTGGAAGGGGGGAAGGTAAAAGATACGCAGATCACTCACAGAGAGGAGGGGGTCCACCAAGTACCCACTCAGAGCCTTGGGGCTACGCCACTTGCTGCCTACATGGGAGTCAAGCTCAAGATCACTCCCAGCTCTTACACTCTGGACCTGCCTCGAAGGCCCCGATACCATCAGCAGCTCCAGACAAAGCAACCAAGGGGGCGTTAGCCATTTAATTCGTAGAACCACTCCGGGAGCCTCCTACTGCTGTCCCATTTCTCAGATGGGAAAACCGAGGTTCGAGAAGGTAGAGCAGTTAAATGACTTGCTCAGACCACGCCACTCTCAGCGATGAGGCTGGGCCTCAACTGTGGTACCAAGAGTTAAGAGACAGTCACAGGCCCTGCTCTCAGAGGGGGACACAGTCTGGATCGCCACTATCCTGGGCCAGGTCAGAAACCAGACTAGAATGCCCACACGAGTGAGCTGAAAGCTCAGGCCTGCGCTGGGGTCGCCCTGCAGGCACCACTGCAGACTCCAGCACAGAGCCGGGGAACGGTCCTTTTCAAATCCCAGCTGACCACCAATTCTCCAGGAGACCTGAGGCAAATCACTTACACGCTTTAAACCTCAGCATGCTCGCTGCCCCGCCAGGAGCCGCTGCGAAGGCCCCCAGTGTGGCTAACGTGGACTGGGGAAGGTCTCCTGCGCCAAGGCACGAGAGGCCTGCTCCCGCCGCGCAGCCTGGAGTCTTGCTGCACAGTCTCACCTTGCTGCAGAGCAGGGACATGAGAAAGTAGTCGAGCAGGAAGCCCTGGGAGAGGCGCGGGTAGTCGAAGTGGAACAGCAGGACGGTGAAGGCCAAGGTCAGGTACTGCTGGGGTGGGCAGCAGAAAGCCGAGCGCAGCAGCTTCAGCCCAGCTACGGTCATCAGCAGCGCCCGGCAGCTGTGGGCAAGGGGTGGGCGTTAGGCACTGGGCGGAGACTCGGCACAGTGGGTATGGGTGCCCATCCCTTGCTGGCCCTGGCCTGGGCTCTGCTGGGCAGGCCCCTGCTCTTCTGGGCCAGTGACTCTTCGTCTCTGCTCTCTAAGGAGGTCACCCCCTTCAGACACACTGAAGAGACACATCTGCTCTTGAAGAGGCAGCCGCTTCACCGGAAAGGGTGTCAGGAGCTGGGGGCCTACTTAAACTTGCTGGGCAACTGAGGCAGGTGTCCTTCCCTCTCCGGGCCTCAGTTTCCCCGTGTCACATGGAGATGTAGACGGTGGGATGGCAGGGGGCTGGCGGTCCTCACTAGAGACAGAACTTGTCCGGGTGGCTGACGACCGTGTGGGCGTCCACCGTGAGGGCGTTGAGCGCCACAGCAGGGTAGATGAGGTATTTCTCCACGCACTGCAGGCCGGCGTACAGCTTCTCAAACCACATCACCTGGGCGGCACCTGCAACAAAAGGTGGAAAAGTGGGACTGCTGTCTGGCACCGGGTCCTCCGCATTCCCCTCCGACCACGGGGCAGGACAGGTGTGCTCTCCAAGGGAACCTGGACAGACGGCAAACCCCAGGACGTGGGGATGTGGCATTCTGGGTCCCTAGAGACTCTGAGCGGTTGCGGGGCAGGGGATTGATCTCTGGCAGCCCAGATGAGGGCAATGAGGCCGATGAGGCCCAGGTCGGGTGTGTTGGGGGCTTAGGGCAGGTGCTCTGCCCAGTCGGCTGTCTGTGCAATAAAGGCTGATGACGACACCCCAGGTGCCCACCGGAGCCAGGGCGGGCAGGGTGAGGCCCAAGTACACAGTGATCCTCAGCCTCAGGGCCCTTCTGAAGGGGCCCCTGCCACTTGGCTCGAGCTGACTGCAGCCACATGGAGATGCTGGCCCAGTGGGCAAAATCCTTCATTGTCTATGAAAACAAAGACATGTGGACCTTCGCATAACAAATCCAGATGTTTACGGCCTTCCCTGTCGGTCCAGTGGGTAAGACTCCGCGCTCCCAATGCAGGGGGCCCAGGTTTGATCCCTGGTCGGGTAACTAGATCCCACATGCATGCCGCAACTAAGAGTCTGCACGCTGCAACTAAAGATCCCACAAGCCGCAATGACGATCCCGTGCGCCGCAACTAAGACCCGGAGCAGCCAAAATAATAAACAAATAAGTATTAAAGAAAAAAAGAAAAGAGTAAACAAATCCAGGTGTTTAAATATAGGCTCAGGGGTGTTTGTGTTGCAGAATCCAAGTAAAAATGCAGGCCAGGCTGACGTAGTTCGTTGGTAGCCAGCTTATAGTTCTCGACAACGTGTCCCTTTAAGGTCCTGGAGTTCTACTTTCCCATATCCTCAGAGACTGCGAGGCAGGTAGGAAAAGGGCAAAGCAGGCAGGGTGAAAGCGAGGCATGGGCTGAAGCGGGCGCAGGAGTGGGTACAGAGGGCAGTGAAGGGGCCGCAGGGCCAGTGCCAGAGCTGACAGAGAGGTGTGGGCAGAGGCTGCCCCCTGCTGGCACTCTGAGCTGCGAGGCCTGTGCTCCCATCAGGCTGCAGGTCCGCTTGGAAATCAGGGCAGGAGGCGTGGAGGGGTCCCAGCCCGGGGCGGGGGGCACTCACCGCGCACTTCATACTGGCTGTACTCCAGCGGCTTCAGCACCGGCTGCGACAGGCAGAACCAGGGCAGCTGTTTGCGGAGTTGCGGCAGCAGGTAATGGGTGAAGAAGCCCACGGCCCCAGCCAGCGCGTACAACACAAAACCCAGCACGGACTGCAAGAGGGAGAGGCGGGAGGCTCAGCCAAGGGAAACAGGCCACAGGGCCACGGAGCCACCTGGTACAGGTCAGCCAGGGGCAGAGAAGGACGTGAGGCCATGGCTGCCCAAGCCCTCAGGGCAATCGGGCTCTGGCGGAAACTGAGGTGGGGGGAGGGGGAGGGGTGGCCTGCGCCACACGAACCTTCAGGGCAATGAAGACGGTGCTGGCGCTGATGGCAAAGGTGAGCACAGCAATCACCACACACATCACCAGGTCAGAGTGCAGGACCTCGCGCTGCAGGGTCAGGAAACACCAGCTTGGGTGTCCCCGCCACCCAGTGGCTGACCACACCCCCGCACCCCAAGACTAGACCCTTACACTGCCGGTCCTCACCACTGACTGACGCATCTTGTCTGGCAGTGGGTCTGGGGGCTCGGCGCGGGCCGTCTCCAAGCTCCGCTCCTCCAGCTCAGGGAACAGCCTGCTCCGGATCAGAGACCTGGGGGGCATGAGAAGAATCAGGGGCCTGGGTCTGGGGAGGCTGCCCCTCCTCTCACAGATACCGCCCCCAACCCCTGCCATGTCAGGTGGTGACAGGCACATGCACAGACACACACGCACAGACACACGCAAACACGTATACACGTGCGCACACAGACAGGTACATGCGGGCACCCACCAGAGCACGGTGGGGTCACTGCTCTGCCGGCTTAGGTGGTAGGACAGCGCCACCAGGAGGCCACAGAAGACAGAGAAAAGGACGGGGACGTGCTGTTCTGGCCAAGGAGTCTGGGGAGAGAACCCATGCTGGTCAGAGGGGATGAGGATAAGCATGGTGGCGGGGGGCGGTCCCCCAACCGTGGGAGAAGCCACTGCTGAGCCCAATTCACAGCCCTGTCCCAACAACCCCGTGGGCTTCAGTGTGCCCGTCACCGACAGGTCATCCCTACCTTGATGGCTCCGAGGCAGAAGCCGTAGAGCAGGGCAGCAGCCAGCAAGCTGCGCGAGAGGCTGAAGACCGCAGTGAGTGGGCTGGTGGCGGCTGCGAGGTGAGCGACAGCCTTTAGTAAAGCCCAGCTCCCACCTGCCGGCTGCCCACCCCACCACCCCCCGCTGCCCCTCAACTCCCCCAGACCCCGTCCCCAGCCCACTGTTCTCTGCTCCCCCCCGGCCCGGAGAGGCCTTCGGAACCCCTGGCATTCTTGGGTTTAAACCACTTGCCTGCGGAGGAGACAGGAGGGGAAGGGAGGGGAGTGGAAGAGATGGGCTCTCAGAATCCACCATGTAGCCGCGGGAGAAGGCTCAGTGAACAGCCAGAGCCGCAGCCATAATCCATAGCCCCTCCTGGGCCCCGCACTGCCTCCACACCCCCGAGCCACCCGTGGGCCCCATACCTGTGCCCCCAAAGCCGTGCATATCTATCTGTTCCAGCAGGTACATGAGACAGGTGTTCACCTGGGGCAGGAGGCCCAGGAGGAAGACGAACGGGAAGCACAAGGTGAACACTGGCGGGGAGGGGAAGCGGAGGCCCGGTCAGCCTGCAGGCTGCCCCTCGGCCCACCCTTGGGGCCTCGCTCCCTGGGCAACCCCAACCCTGCCCGGCCTTACCAGTGGCTACATCACGGGCGCAGAAGAAGAAGGAGGCGGAGAAGAGCGTGAGGCCGTAGAGGGAGACGGGCGGGAAAGGCTGAGCTGAGCCCAGGGCGTCCAGCAGCCAGATGAGCAGACAGCAGATACAGAAGTAGACAGGCCGGCTGTATGCGATCACCCAGTTGTGGCCCTGGGGAGGGGGGCCTGTGAGGAGCCAGGCCTCCCCTACTGAACACCCTACTTGTACGTGCACACACACACGCTCACGTGTCCCGTGCCTGGCCCTGGGTCCAAGATAGAAAGCTTGGCAGGCTGGGGGCAGAAGGACCAAGGAGCTAGGCGTGATGGGGGTGGTTGAGGGAGCCCTGCCTCTCCCCCACCCGACCCCCTCCCTACCTGGTCTCAGTCCCGCCCAGGGCCCAGGCCTGAGCCTCGCGGGGAAAGGTGCTGCTCTGCTGGTACTCACGTGCATGGGGGATGCTGCATCAGGCTGGACGCTCTGGAAGAGATAAGAGCTACACTGGTGATGAGAGCCAGCGCCCACGGGAGGGTCAGAGGCCCCAGGATCTGTTCGATTCCACTTCTGGGCCCTTATGAATGACCAGGGCAGGCCCCTGAACTGTCCTGAGCTTCTGTTCTCTCATTTGTAGGATGAGGGGTGGCTACAGGGGATCTGAAGCATCTTAACTGCTTTCGAGCTCAACCCGCTCAAGAGGGGTCCTGGGAAGCGGGGTGCACCTGGGAAGAGATGGGAGGGAAGAGACCCAGGAAGCCAGGTCTGACCTTCAGCAGGGAGTACTGGCAGGAGGCGATGACCAGGCAGAACTGGAAGACCCAGATGTCAGTGAAGAAGCCCTTGAGCAGCAGCAGGTAGCCCAGGAAGGCGACGAGGCTGCTCAGGCCGACACCGAGAATGTTCTCCACCAGCCCCCGTGTCCTGGAGAGACAGCAGGGTCAGGGCACACCCACCTCCTCACCTGCTAGTGGGGCAAGGGGTTAGGGGATGGGGGAAACAGGAGCCAGCCACAAAGGCCCATGTCCAGGCCGGTGTCCACGCCAGCCGTCATCCTGAGTATGTGAAGCTATGCCCTCTCAGGGCCAGGGCCAGGTGGCACCCGCTCCAGGAAGCCACTCCACTGCTACCCTGCATCCCGATCCCAGTCTTTGCCCCCTCTAGACCCTGAGGCCTCAGGTGCCACCACTCTGGCATCTGCCCATCTCCGGCTCCCACTCGCTATGCGACGCACACAGACAATGCCCCCAGAACACCGGTCACAGCGCCGGGAGAAATCCAGAACACAGGAAGCCAGGACACAGGTTCCAGGCCCAAATCATTCACCCCGACAACAAACATCATCTGATCTCTCTCACTTTCTGGGCCTCAGTTTCCTCCCGAAAACACGGAAAGCTAAGATAGATGGTTCGTTAGCTTTTTCAGGGTACAGGATTCAATTTAATTGACACTCACCCAGAAGCAAATAAAAAACAACACACTGCACAGGAACAACGTCTCCAGCAAAGCTCTGGGAGAGCAGCGACCAGAGCACCACCCACTCGGCCTCCCCTCTGCACCCAGAAGCACCTAAAGAAATTCCACTGCAGACTCCAGCTCTCCACGCTCCCTCAGCGACCCCGGCAGTTAGGTTCTCCGTTGCCATGACAGCCTCCACACATTCAGAGTCTGGAAGGCCAGGGGCCAGGGACGATCAAGGACTGGGGGCTGAGGTGGTGGGTGCTCACCGGTCCAGCAGGGCCAGCAGGGCGAGCCGCTCGTAGCGCACAGAGGTCCAGCGGCCGGGAAGAAGCCAGTACTTGTAGCTGTGCTGGGCCCGGGGCGGCGCCTCCTCCATCAGTGTCTGCTCCTGGGATTCGTGCAGGGAGTCCTGGTCCAGCAGGTCAAACTGCGGTCCCCATGGCCGCGGCCATCAGCCCCGCACCCCCCGCCCCCGTGGTCCACTGCCACCCCCCAGCACACACTGGCTGGTCAACACAGAAAGTCCCCACCATGTAGCAGCCCCGCGGCCTGCCCTGACCCTCCATCCAAGGGCCTACTCCTTCCTCCAGCTTCCCAGGACGGGGCTCAGTGGCCGTGGGGGCTTCCAGGGCTGCTGGACGCCAGGATTACTAGCTCCTGCGTCTGTCTTCCCCACTCAGGCAGCATCTCCCGTCTTCCTGGGCTCAGAGAAATCCACCTTATCCTTCAGGAGTCAGCACAAACACTACCCTCCTCCCAGACAGAGCCCTCAGGGTCATTCAGACCCCCCTACCCTGGAGCACACGGAGCGCCGGCCCTGAGGACGGGCCTGGGTGCCAGTGCCAGCGCTGCGAGGCCCTGGACCAACTACTTAACCTCTTTGGGCTTCTCGTGTCTTTAATTCAAGTGTTTACGGGATACAACTACGAGCCTGTCCCTGTGCTGGGCTCTGGAGAGCCCAGCAGCACGGCCCCTGCCTCTGGTGGAGACGCTCGGCTGTGGAAGGATAACACTGCTATCCCACGTGACCGTCAGGAGAATAACCGCATCAGGAAGGAGCACGTGGGGCTTCTGGGCGCTGCCCGTGGCCTCTCTGTGGCCCTGGGTGTGTGGGTGCTACTTTCACGACTGTCGTTTAGCTCTGAGTCTGTGTTTCATACATCCCTAGTACCTCTGTTATTCCCTGGCCAACCACATCAGTTACTACCCACGTCAGGATGCTTTCAGCAACGAAAGGTGGCGCTCTTACTAGCTCTGCTGAGCCGGACAAGCTCGAACAGCATGCCTCAAGACCCCCCACGTCAGGCGCCCAGCACAGGAGGCAGCACTGCCACCACCAGGCAAGCTCAACTGCCCCTTCTGCAAGTGCCACTGCTAACACCCACCATCCCCACTAACTGTGGGCCCCTCCAGGGCAAACAAAACTATTCCAGACACGTTCACTGAACGAGTAAATAAATAAGCGACTCCTTGAGCCATTCAGGTCCAGGATCTGTGCACCCTGTGCTGGCCATCAAAGGTCAAGACAGCTACCTCAGGGCCCCTCACTCAGGGTGACCTGTCCCTCCTGGTGCCTGGGTGAATGCCTGGTGGTCTGCACCCCGCCCCCTGCAGCTCCTTCCCCGACGCTGGCTCCTCACCTCTGGGATCTCCAGGGGCACTCGGCGCACCTGCATGCCCTGCAGGACCACAGGCCGCGGCTGTAGCAGGTTCAAGCCGCCTGTCGCCTCTGGGACATCAGCCGAGTGGAAGCTGGAGGAATGTGAGTGGCGGTCCCTGTGGGAACAGCAGCCGTGAGGGTCGGGGCTGTGGGTGAGGCTGGGAACGGAATGGGGTCGAGGCCAAGGCCAGGCCATGACTGGGGGCCCAAGGGAGTTGCTCCAATACCCAGGATCACAGGGGTGTCCAGAGAAGTCAGGTGGCAGAAGTGCCTCCCTCCCAGGTCCTGGGCCTCCTGGAAGGCCCTAGAAGCCTCCTGCTTGGAAGTGTTGTGGAGCCAGAGACCTACGGGATCCCTGCAGGTCCGCCCTTCACCGCTCCGCGCCCTTCGCCGCCGCCCACCGTCCTCTCCTCCTAGAGGTCTGAGCTGCCCCTGCCCAGGCCAAAGAAGGAAGACAGAAAACTCCCCAGAAATGGCAGCCCATCGGCTGCTGGGTCAGGAGAGCCCAAGCTTGGAGACTCACCAGGCACCATTGGCTGCCTGCTCCCCCTGCTGCCCTACAGGGTTCTCGTAGCCGCCTCCAGCCAGGCCAAAGGTGTAGGAACGCCGCACACCTGGGGCACAAGCGTGGGACACAAGGCAGCCTGTCAGGGACAGGAGCACCGAGGCCCAACCCACGTGGGCACCAGGGCCATCAAGTGAGGAAAACCCTCTGCTGGGTTCCCCTGGATGGCAGCCCAGCCCCTGGGCACCACAAGTACAGCTGCTGGGACCATGACCCTCAGCGGGAGGGGCCGGGGGAGGGGCTCACCGCTCTCGTCATAGAAATAGTGCACGGCACCCTCGGAGGTGTCGTCGAAGGTGCAGGCCTCGTGCACGCTGGCACCGGCCCGAGTGAGCAGCAGCGAGGAGGCGAAGTGCAGGGCAGAGGGCAGCGTCAGCGCCCGGGAATGGGAGGCAGCCCGGCCCCGCTGAGCTTCCTGAAGGCTGCTGAGGAGGGGTCGGCTCATGGTCAGCACCCCTTAGAGCCAGCCGGCCCCCACTCCCGTCCAAGCAGCTGGCAGGTGCTCACCTGGGCGGCGAGCCCATGAGCGAGGCGGGGGGGGTAGGGTTGCTGCCGGCATTGTGACGCCTCCGGATGGCCTGTGCCCGCCTCACGCTGCTTGAGCGGTCCCGCTTGCCAGTCTCCTCGGCAGCTGACCAGAGAGAGGCCCCCCGAGCATAAGTGACAGAGGCTTGGACAGAGCCTGAGGGAGGGTTGGGGGAGGGGGGGAGAGAGATGCCCCTGCATGGATGGAGCTAAAGGTCAGGCCTAGTCCAACCGTATCCCGCCTCTGTGGCCCAGCCAGGTCACCTAACCACGTGGGCCTCAGTTTCCACATGTGGAAACAAGGAAGTGATCTGCTCTGCCCCACTGGCGACCCAGGAGGATAAGCGTGGCTACTCAGAGTCCTCAAAGAGCAGAGGCCCAGGTGCTACCTGCAGGACCTGGAGCCAGGTGCCTGAGGTCTCTGCCTCGGTCTCCTCACCACTCCAGCCTTGCTTATCTGAGGCGCCTGGCAGCCAACGTCACTAGGTCGCTGCGTCCTTGTCCATCTGCTGCCTGAGACAGAGGCTGACCAGGTCCACTCCAGCTGCCCCCGACCCAAACCCACGTCCCTACCGAGCTCGCCTCCCCCCAGCTCTGGAGCCGGTACTCACCTCCCCCCACAGCACCATCCTCCTGCAGCTCCCCCCGCCAGCCAGGCTGGTTGGCCGCAGGTCCCCGGCGGGCCTCGGCGGGCAGCACAGCGGGCTCACCGGCTGCCAGCTCCACCCCTGCCTGGACCTCCAGCTCAGCCTTGGAGCCAGCCAGGGGGCCCCTCAGGCCATCACCCCCTGCCCCGTCCATGCTCAGCACGCGGGCGTGCGTTTTGGCGCTGGCGGTACTAGGCGTCCGCTGGGTCCCATAGGGCCGCTTGGGAGGCACAGCCGTCCCCTCCTCAGCCCCGTGGGGGGCCCGTCGTTTCCGGGGCCCCCCCGCCGCACCCCGAGAACTCTCAGGGGAATAGCAGGAAGTGGACGAGGAGCTGTCGGTGCTGTAGCGGCGCTGGGACCGGAGGCTGGAGGCCGGGCTCAGTTCACTGCCCTCGCTGGTGTCATCGTCCTCGAAGAAGCCCCCACCTTCCAGCAGCGGCCGCCGAGGGGCACGGCCAGCGGGGGAGTGTCTTCTCACAGGTGGCCGCCGTTTGCTAGGCCGCAGCAGGGCCAAGTCCTTGGGCCGTACAACCAGGAGCGGCTCAGCCGGGCCCGGAGGCGTCCCTGCTCCCACAACTGTGTCAAAGGAACGCAGTGTGTCATCTGACGGGACCCCAGCATCTGGTGAAGCGGGCAGCTCTGCCTCCGAGGGTGGGTCTGTGTCGCTGCCCTCGGGGGCTTGCCCACCGGGGGGGCTGTCCAGGTGGGTCGAGTTGGTCTTCTCACTCTTGAAGCTGCTCAACGTTTCCCTGTCAGTGCCACTGAAGCAGGAATCTGAGGAGCCGGCTTTCTGGGGTGTGGGCTCACCCGAGCCCCGCCGGTCCAGGGGCTGATAGCCGCTTGCTCCGCGGCGGTGCTCCCGTCGACTGCTGGTCCTCACCAGGGCCCGGTCGGGCCGGGTCAGCGTCAGGAAGCTCTTGCTCAGCTCCTGGCTGAGGCTCCCCTTCAGCAGGGGGCTCATGGGAGTGTCAGCCACGCTGCTCCCACTCCAGGGGGCGCCATCTCCAGCCAGGGGAGAACGTTCTGAAGAGTCCGTGCTGGGGAGAGATGGGTCTGGGGCAGCCCCTGGAGGCGTCTGGGGGAGGTCTCCAACTATCAGAACAGAAGAAGATACAAGACGACAGAATGGCATTCTACAAAAGGGACTGGTGGCTGAGGGGGTCCTATGGCCCCACTTTCTGAGAACCCAGTGGGGCAGGACACTGAGGAGGTCCAATCTGAGAGAACACAGAGAGCCCCGGGAAGTAAAAGTTGGGGTGACTCAAAGACAAGACAGCTAGTCTTCTCCCCAGGCTCTTGCCAACATGCCCACTCACTCAGCTTCTCCTGTGAGCTTAGCTTCAGCATCTCTCGATCGGCAGAGGTCATGATCACGTTGTTGCTGCCCTGCTCCCGCACAAGCTCCTTGATGTCTGCAACCACAGCCCCAGAGGCGTCAGCAGGACCTCAAGGCCTCCACGCGCCATCCCCTACTCCACACCACCACCTTCAGCTCTGAACAGCAGCCACCTACCTCTGAGGGGCCCAGAGTCCTCCATCCGGGGCAGCAACTCCTGAGCAATAGAAAAAAAAGTACGAAGGAGCAAACAGGGCAAAAAGTAGGCTCAGGACATACCCATGTTTGGGACAGGCTCTCAGGAGAGGAGTGGGGAAGGGAGAGGGCCAGGACCACTCACCGAGACCTGGTTGAAGCCAAACACGGAATGCTGAGAGCTACAGCGTACGGGGGGTGTGGAACTCACTTTTCGAAATACTGTCATCTCCACTCCAGGATCCCTAGCAGTAGAAAAGAACAGCAGCTTTCAGCTAACCCTCTCTCTTCGTAGAGTACTTATCCCAACATCCCCATCACTCTACTCTCCGCACAGATCCCCCTGATAAATCCAGGACCGACCATAGAACGTTCAACCGTTCTTGGACCCAATGTTCCCTAAGCCCCTTCTCCATCCTCCAGTGCTCAGGCCCAGGCACCAAGGACCCTCCATTTCCAACACAGGCCCTGCCTTGCCCCACCTGGGCAGACTGCCGTCCCCCTGGGTAGGCTCTTCCTCTGGCTCCCCCATGGTAGAGCTGCGCTTCTCCACAATTTCGCCCTGGTCGAACATAGCATGCAGCCGATAGTTCACAGTCTTGATGGCAGCGAAGATGACAGCCACCACAAGGCAGTACACACCAGCCACCATCAAGCTGGGGGGCAGGACCTGGAGGTGGCAGCAAGTCAGGTCCCTCTTCACACAGCCCTGCCCCCGTGGGGTGGACCTAACGCCACAGTCAAGGCTAGGATTCACAAATTCACAACAGGACTTCATCGCCCCTGCATACAACTCGTAAGAAGGCCCTGTCAGGGGGCCCTGTCTTCTTTCTAACTGGAGAGAAACTAAGTGAGGGTCTCAAGGTCACCCAGGCCAGAAAAGTTTGGCCTCTCCTCCACACACTCCAAACTGCACTGAGTCCTCTTCCTACATCCTAGTGCCCAAGCCACAGCCCAGAATCCCTGCCAGGTTGCACCCCTCCGTGACATCTGCCCTCCCTTTTCCCGGCGGGAGTTACAGGTGGCGGCAGCGTCTCACCATGTACAGCAAGAAGGGAAAGGTGAGCAGGAAGATCCAGACATAGAGGTGGAAGCAGTTGGAGAAGGTGCTCTGGTGCGGGTCGAAGAACCAACCGCCGGTGAGCGAAGCCCACACCCCCTGGCGCAGGATCTGCAATACCTGCGACCCCATGGCCCCGCCGCTGCTGCGCGCGCCCTCCTCCCGGGACCCTCATGGGGGCGGCCCCCGGCCCATGCCCCGCGTGGCGCCCGAGGGCCCCGGGGCCCGGCCTCGCGCTCACGCCATGGCCTCCCCCAGCGGAGGAGAGAGGTCGGTGGGGGCTAGGGTGCGAGCAGGGGGCGGGGCCGGCCCGGGCAGTCACCGGTGCGAGACCCAGGCGCGGGGGTGGAGACGCATCAGAGGCGGGGTCCGGGCCCCCACCCCCGGCCCAGATCTGCTCCCAAGGGCCGGGCCGGCAGGCAGGAGCAGGGCACGGGCCGGGCACCCGTCGGCGGCATCCAGAGGTGGGCGTGGGGTGGATGATCTGGGGGTGCAGGCGACGGCTCCCTCGGTTCCGGCCCGGGGAAAGCCCTGGTACCCTGAGGTCCACTTCCGGGGTCACAGGTCACTCGTTTTGGGCTCCGCGCTCGCCCCGCTTCTGCGGGAGCCGGCCCAAGGGGGAGGCCGGAAAAAGGAGCCGCGAGCCGCCAACCTGCAGTGGCGCATGCGCCCAACGAGCCCAGTTGGGACCCGGAAAAGGAAAACCTGGCGGCTTGAATGCGCAAGCGCAGGGAAGTGGTGGAGCGATAAGAAGCAGGAGAGTCCTTTGGGCGTGCGCAAAGTTCAGGTCTAAGAGAAGGGACGGTCCGAAAGGCAGAAGCGCTTGGGCGTATGCGCACACCTAACCGTTGCCAATCTAGCGGAGACCACTGGGCGGAACCCAAGGGATAGTTGAGGGGCCATCGAGTAAAGGCGGAGTTAACTGGCGCAAAATTCTCCCAGTGAGTTACAAGAGGCGGGGGAAAAGGATGGAGGCGCGGACCTCCCTTGGCTAAAGCGACGGTTCGCTACGGGAGCACGCCCCTCTAGGTCCGCCCTTTTTAGCGATGGACCTGAAACCTCACGTGCCACCTCTACTTCCAGGTCAGAGCTCAGACTTAAGATTGTAGAGAGCGACCCTCCAAGAACAGGCAGGAATAGTCGAAGTAGGATAGCGTCGTTTTTCTTAAAGTGACAGGCTCAAGGCAAGTGGGGTCAATCCAGCAGTTACGAGGGCGGTTTAGCTATTCTGAATCCAATCACTGAGCAGATTTCTTGACCGCAGTTTCAGGTTTCCGCCCCTTCATGGGGAAGAGGCATGAATAAGTGGATTGTTTCCCAGGTGAGGGAAAGGGGAGAGCCTTAGACAACTCGTTCCAAGAGCTCGAGGTGCAGCCAGTTCCGTCCTCCTTGTCTTACGCACCCCCATCCCACCAGCTCTGCAAAGCTGAGCTTCTGGCCTCAGTTTCACATACGAAGAGAATGAGGCGCAGAGAGGATGGGTCACACAGCCCTGCAACTTCGGAGCCAAGACCAAACTCGGGTTTGCCCCTCTCCCAAGCCCGGTTCGTTTCCCCAGTTTTGCTGATGCGGGTGCAGAGAGTGGGGATGGCCCGTCCTTAGTGGAAACCAACTTGGACCCTAAACCTGCTGTCATGGGGGATCGGGGCTACCCTTCCCCACCTTCTGCCTCTCATTGCCCGCCTACCCGGGAGCTCCCAGGCCCAGTCGTCCCGCAGCCTCTGGGAGGGGAGCGGTGCTACCCGCCCGCGTCATCTGATGCTGTTTCCTGCAGGAGGGAGAACAGCGGAAAAAAGTGAAACTCCACCCTCCACCTCTGCCTCCCGCCCCCGGGGCCAAAGTACAAAGGGAGGAGGAAGAAGGGAACGGGGTTGGAGCCATCGGGTTGAGAGAGCCCAGCCGGGAAGAGGCAGCTTGGCCCAGCTAGAGACACTCCAGCCACCCCCTGCGCAAAGAGACCCAACCGGAGTCCAGGCGCTGCCCCTTGCTGGCCCCACCTTACACTTGGCGGGTGCCGGAGCCAGACTCCCAGGACTGCTCCAGACTGAGGGACGCCCGGGCCCCTCTGTGCCAGCCATGGTGAGACGCCGGAGGCCCCGGGGGCCCACCCCCCGAGCCTGACCACACTGCCCTAGGTCGCCTTCCCCCGGAAGCCCGAGATGCGGGGGGCCGGGAGGCGACACTCCTGGCTCCCCAGAGAGGCGTGGGTCTGGGGCTGAGGGCCAGGGCCCGGATGCCCAGGTTCCGGGACTAGGGCCTCGGCAGTCAGCAAGGGTGGGGACCAGGGGCACCCAGGGAAGGTCCCCCACACCCACCAACGCCAGCTCCCAGCCATGGAGCCCTTGAAGAACCTCTTCCTCAAGAGCCCGCTGGGGTCATGGAACAGCGGTGGCAGTGGGGGCAGTGGGGGCGGCGGCGGAGGTTGGCCAGAGGGATCCCCGAAGGCGGCAGCTTATGCCAACCCTGTGTGGACAGCCCTGTTTGACTACGAGCCCAATGGGCAGGACGAGCTGGCCCTGCGGAAGGGCGACCGTGTGGAGGTGCTGTCCCGGGATGCAGCTATCTCAGGCGATGAGGGCTGGTGGGCGGGCCAGGTGGGAGGCCAGGTGGGCATCTTTCCGTCCAACTATGTGTCTCGGGGCGGCGGTCCGCCCCCCTGCGAGATGGCCAGCTTCCAGGAGCTGCGGCTGGAGGAGGTGATCGGCATCGGTGGCTTCGGCAAGGTCTACCGCGGCAGCTGGCGAGGCGAGCTGGTGGCTGTGAAGGCAGCTCGCCAGGACCCCGATGAGGACATCAGCGTGACAGCTGAGAGCGTGCGACAGGAGGCCCGGCTTTTCGCCATGCTGGCACACCCCAACATCATTGCCCTCAAGGCCGTGTGCCTGGAGGAGCCCAACCTGTGCCTGGTGATGGAGTACGCTGCCGGCGGGCCCCTCAGCCGTGCCCTGGCTGGGCGGCGTGTGCCCCCCCACGTGCTCGTCAACTGGGCCGTGCAAATTGCCCGTGGGATGCACTACCTGCACTGCGAGGCCCTGGTGCCTGTCATCCACCGAGACCTCAAGTCCAACAACAGTGAGTTTTGGGGAGCATGGGTGGAGGGTGGCATGGCCCAAGTACACACCTACTGCCAACTCTTGGCTGAGCCTACCTGGGGATCTACTAGAGGCAGGAGTTCCTCCCCTAGGGGAATCTGAGGTGATCAGGGGTGCCCATGGGCTCACACTAGCCCTAAAGCAGGAGTCCCAGGCACCCAACAGAGTCCTTCATGCCCCATCCCCAAAAGGAGTCCTTGATCCCAGCTCACAGCTGCCAAGTTAAAAAAATTGGAACCTCTCACGTGGACCGTAAGCAGCTTGCCTAACCGTGGCCATTACCTCAAGGAAGGAGAGTGCTGGATGCTGGCACCCCCTCATCTTCAGGGAACTCCCCTGAAGTTCACCGTTGTCCTACTGGTGCCTCCTCTCCCCTCCACTTGTGGTGGGCAGCTCCTCCAGAACAGAAATCTCAAAGGGGGAAAAACCACCCCCTTCCCCTGCCCCATGGTGGTCAAAGCTGGGGCCAGGGATGGAATTCTGGCCCCACCCCTCCTGCACTGGCTGTATGATCTCTAGCTGGTTATTTCAACTCAGAACCTCGATTTCAGACTCTGTAAAAAGGGAGTGATCGGGAGGGTGAAACGGCTTAACAGGCTGGGCATCCGATGCCCGGCACACAGTGGGTCCTCAGCCATGGGTGTGGATGTTTGAAGGCTGGATCACCAAGAGGGCTTTGCCTGGAATCAGCACTTGGGAGTGGGCGTGGCAGGGCTAAGAAAGACTCAAGCGGTAAGGCACTCCATCTCCAGCCATTTCAGGTCCTACACACTGGGCCCAAGACAAGCAAGCCTGGGCCCAAGACAAGCAAGTGGCAGGTTTGGAGGGCTTTCTGAAGCAGACGAGCTTCACACCAAACCCAAAGCAGGGAGTGTTCAGAAAGGTACCCAGTTGGATGCAGGGCCTGACAAGAGCAAAGGCAAGGAGGCAGGCCACAGCACGGTAGTGGTACCTGGGCTGGGCCTGCTGGGGGCTGAGGTACAGCTGTAGAGCAAAAGGAAGGGCCGTCACTGGAGAGGAACGGGTGGTTCTTGGAGGGGTGAGCATGGATATTTTGAGCCTCCTGGCCTGGGCTGAGCATGGATACGAGGCTTGTGGGGAGCAGAACACCAGAGCCCAGTGATATCCAAGTCCTTGCCAGGGCCAGAGGGGCCTGGGGAGGCCTGCCAGCGACCCCACCCACTCCTCTGGTCCACAGTAGGGGGCAGATCCCATCTCTCAGCCTCCCTCCTGGGCCCTAGCCATCTAGGGACCCCCACTCCCTGCCCCAGCCTGAGGGGCATTCCCCGAAGGCCTGGGGGGAGGGGCCTCCCGTCTTCTGTTTTTCCTCCAGTTTTCTTTCCAGAAAAAATGGAACAATAGCCCAGGCTCCTGCTCCCCACCCTCCCCACCGCTTCCTGCGTTTCCTGCTGCCCCTGGGCCGGCTTCCTGCCCCTGCTCCAGCCTCTGCTCTCTCCCCAGCCCAGCTGCCTGCAGGGGAGGAAAGAGCTGGGGGTAGGGGGTTTGTGGGAGAGGAAGGAGCCAGGGATTGCACCCCTACTCCCCCCCAGTTCCCTCCCAGAGTCTGGGTGGTGGTGAAGGGCAGGCAGGGTGCCCTTAGCCTTGCTGAGCCTGGCCTCCCACCTCGCAGACCCCAGTCCTAGGCCCGGGCTGCTGTCTGCGGCATTGGCGGGGGGAGTCCCTGGGATGGGGGGGGCGCAGGCAGGAAACAATGGCGTGATTTTCCTGGACAATGGGGGCCTTGTGAGGAAGCCTGGCAGGGCGAGGAGGGGGAATTCTCTAGGCCCACGAGTCACAGGAATGACCAGCCAGCCCAGCCTGGGCCTGACCTCCCCCAATTCTCCACCAAAGGACCCCCCCCACCACCATTGGAGACCTGAGCCAGGCCTCCCAGAAAGGAGAAGTAGAGACCATGGGAGGGAAGCGGAAGAGGCGTAAGCTGCCTAGGCCACTCCCAAGCTTCACAGAGGCAGCCCAGGAAGCGGGCTGGGGGCCAGGTCCCTTTCAGAGGCCAGGGAGCCCTAAGGGGATGCTGGGAGG